TTATTTACAGCCTTTGGACCAGAGGTTCTGGGAATCGAACTACTGACCTTTAAAAACCTCTCAACAAACTCAAATCCCAGATTCCTGTTTGTGAATTTAAAAACCGTCTCTTTGCTTTTTCGCCATCGTTGACCTCAGATCAGTTCATGAAGTTTGTTGGAGTCTCACATGACCGAGGACACATCACCACTTTACACACAGCATCAGTCCTGTGATCATCTCGCTCACTGACAATGATCATGTGATCATCCATCACAGACGTGTGGCCGTGGTTCAGGGAACACGCTCGTGATTTACCTGATCCGCTCACAACTCAGGAACTCAATCCAGATTTGAAAACGTGCAGAAGAATCAGCTGCAGTTGAAATCAGTTTGTACTCAGGACGGTTACATCAGTGACGGTCAGTGTTTCCTTTATGTACTTTTACTGCGCAGGTGTTTCGTCGAAGTCGTACATTTACACAATCCTGCGGCTCAGAGCTTTAACTGCAGTTTCCACAGAGTTCACGGTTCAGCAGCTGATAACACTTTCAATTTCCCTCTCACCAGACTTCAGTTATGATTATAGATCAGAGTTTACTCTTATCTTCTTGGACAAGGACATACTCTACATTTAATATTCTAATGTAATCCCTAGTTTTTACTCCTTTGTCTCTGCAGCGTCCCGCAGTTTGTAATATTCCTACCTTTTATCATCGATGTTTCCACAGACGATCATCAAATCTCATCCTTTTTTAAATACTGCTTCTCCCTTTTTTCTTTCACGTGTGTGAACCAATTAACATATTTTCACAGTCAGTAAATCACTTGAACTGTCCTGAGCACCTCACACCACATTTTAATGATTCGATCAAACAAACTTTATCTGTAAAGCAACGTTCATACAAATCAGATACGATGATGGAAAGTGAAAAGACACGAGGTTAAAAATCTGATTTAGAGAAACACACATCCGAGCAATAACAGAAGAGACACCACTAAAATAAAGATAAAGGATTTATAATCAACACGAACATTTTGGTTAGAAGATAAACAATCATATATTTATATATATATATATATATATATATATATAGTCACAATCATATGATTAACATTTCAGTGTATCGTCACACCTGATCCTTTTTCTGTGCTCTTGTTTTTCGTCAACCTGCTGTTTAAAGGCTCTGAACACACACACATTCAGAAACACATGAACACAGAAACACGTGTGACCAGAAACACATGAACACACACGATGACTCAAGTGATTCGGGTCTTTTAGGTTCACGTGTCAAAACATGAGAAGCAACTGGAATATCCCAACACAGGTGTTGTGCATCGTTCTCAGTGACACACACAGACACCGTGTCCCTCTGAGCTTGTGCAAATATTTTAGACTTTTCATGCAGCAGAACAGACCCCCCCCCCCCTCCCCCTCTATCGGCCTTGACACATTTTCCAGACTCGAACCCGGTCGTCCGTTCTGCCCTCGGTGTCCCATCAACATTCCCAGGCACCACAACAAACATAGTTATTTGTCTTTTGTGACAGAATGTACACGACTGACCTTATTTCCCAAATCCTGAGGCAGGCTGGGTGTTTGAGGGACGATCGACATTCTCCACTGCAGCTGAGCTCAACAGGTGCGACCGCTCACTGATCAGGACAATCAACAGGAAACTCACAATACAGAAAAGAGCACGCACATTAATATACGACACATAATATACATATTTCTTATTCTTCTGCTTAGTTACGTGAGAACGAAACAAGAGAAACGCGGAGGAAAAGATTAAATATCACGTATCTGTGATTTATTCCCAACAAAAGCTTTGTATCTTTATTATTTCTACTTATTGTAAATAATATTTCACGCTACACGTTTTTCTACCTTTATATTGTTTACATTAGTTTTTATTCCATTCATATGTTTCAGTAATTTTTATTTGCCCTTACAGTAAAGTATTTCATGTACTTATTACTGACTTACTATGTTTGCCTCTTGCTGTTAGTGGAACTAATAAAGGATTACCTTATCTTATCCTTACTATTCTTCCTCATGCTGCTGTGTCACTGTGTCTCATTTCCCAAAATGTGCTGGAATCCAGGGAGAGAGACGAACAGTTTGAATTTCATGTTCCTGCACCAAGATAAAAAACAATCCAACATCAGAACCAGGGTCATTTCAGGATGAAGGGTCGATGGACGGACCTTTCAGGAGACATGTGACACGACGTGTCCCTCGGAGTTCAAGTAGCTTCAGAAGGGTTCAGACAACGCGTCAACTCCGTGTGAGAAACCTCAGGCTGCATTAGCTCTGGCAGCTTTGCAAATGACATTGAACACGGCAGATGACGGCAGAGGAATGCATGGCCATGTGTGACAGGATGAATCCAGAGTCTCTGACGTCTCATGAACTGTGTCTGTGTTCTGCAACGACACAAACTGTGAAAACTGTTCAAGCAGAACGACTGCGACCAAATGAGTTCTTCACACATTCACATGCGTTCTTCAGCGTTTGAACAAGAACAGGACGTCAGGTTAAAAAGAGGAAGTCACTGAACATTATTATAAACATCACATTTTAATAATAGAACTTAATTTCCCTCCGGGGATGAATAAAGTACTCTATCTATCTATCTATCTAGATATTAATAATAATATATATTCACATCACAAAGACCTGCACATCTTACAGATATCTTAAATAATCGCTGATGATGTAAAATGATCGTTCTGTTTGATTCATGCCTTCGACAAATGTTCCTCCGGGTGAAGACGTTTTTAGAAAGTCACACTTTACAAGATGGCAGAAGGTAAAGAGACGTGATCCATCTCTGTATTTGTGGACAGTCCACGATGCAGCGGCTGCAGCAGGAGTTCTATAAACTGGAGGATCAGATGATTTTTGACTCAACAGAAAACATTTCACAGTTTAAACATCTGGAGACTTAAATTAAAAACAACACTCAACATCTGCATCTCTTTAAGACTCCTCCTCCCCTGCATCTCTCAGCAGCTCTATGTTTTTGCCGATATTTGAATTGGCTGTATAAACATGATCGCTGGGCGTGATCGTGCCGCAGTCAAATGGTCCCCGCTCATTGGCTGAGCCAAAGGCGTGTTCCCTGTAGCCGAGGAGAAGAGGTCATCGGGTCAACGACTCCCCCTCTGTTATCAGACAGAGATAATAACTGGCCTAAGGAAGCCAGAACCCAAACAGAGAGGCGGGTGAGTCAGAAGAAGTCATAACACCCACAAGGCTGCTTGTGCCCCGATGTGTCAACCGAGCAAGAACTCAAGGTCCAACGACGTCAGGATCCGTGTTGTGGTGCAGCCGCTCCGTGTTTGGGTCGCTGTTAGACTTTGACTAAAGGCTTTTATGACCTTCATGGTCCGACACCACTAAACCACGGCAAAGGTCACAAAGGGCCTAATGTTCACTTGTGCAATGTTCACAGGTTGATTTCCACCACATGTGTGTTACTCAGTTTATTAAATATAGTTTTATTAAATATGGAAAAAGGAAAGTTTTATTCTGTATAGCAGAAAAGCCTTATTATGTATTATGTAAAAACCTGCAGCACCATCAACCAAGGTTTTAGACTTGACAACGGGACCTCGGTCTGTGTCCCTACAAGCCACAGTGTCCCACAGCTGAGGAGGAGTTTGCAATATTTGTCAAAATAGTCAAAAATACACAATGTACCTACGTTTTTTGTTTCCTGAACTTATAGTATAATAAAAACTGTGACAGCGCTATTTCAAAATCAGCTTTACCTTGATATCGAGGCATTAAAGTGCTGCTCTATATGTCATAATAGGTGATAAATAAAACTGTTGCGTGCAATCGTGTATATTGCCGTTGACCTTGTAATTATACTTGAAGGATTCGCAATGATTTTCCCACAACTGGTCGCAATCGATGCACAAACAGGATCGACTGACCTCCCTCTGACCTCCCTCTGACCTCCCTGCATCTCAAGGAACGGCGGACGGCTGCTCATCACATCGTTCGGTCTCACATTTCATCACAAGACGTCGTGTCCAGGTGACGATCCTCGTGATTTTGAGTTTGTACGTAACACACCAGGACAAATGTGGAGCCACAAACGAGTCAATGAAATAAACCTACTGGGCTGTGACGAAACACACACACACACACACA